ATGTGGCAACCTGGGGGGTGGATTTTCTTAATATGAACCCAAATATAAAATATTAAAGGTTATGATGACCAACAACGCCACCTGGAATAAATCCAGGAAAATATAATGTAGTAAGGACACAGGTAAGTTCTACTGGAAATGAGGAGACAAGATTCAGAAAGTTCTACAAAATTTATTAAACTTCAAAATATCTTTAATTTCCAATAATCTGAAATTGAATGGTTAAAACAGTGAATGCATTTGACAAGATAATAAAATGTCTAAATTTCAAAGGAAACTGAGGCTTACCGATGGGGGAAGTAGTGAGGGAAGGGGCAACATCCAGTGCAGAAAAAGGGGACCACCCTGGACACTACAAAAACACGGCAAACAAAGAAAGAAAAAGGTGCTCCAACAAAACACACAAGACAAGACACCGCCACCAGGGGTCACCACCGCCACCACAGAAGCCTCAGTCCCTAAAAGACAGACAAGAAAATGAAACGATACAAGTAAAACAGTGATACAGTAGCCCTACAATGTTGCACTTTATCCCCAGAGAAAGTGCAGATTAGTATTTTAAAACAATTTATAAGTAGGCAAAACAGCAGCGAGTGTCACTCCAGGTGCAATGCTGATGAGTCAGAAGGCTAAAAAGAATAGAGCAAATTATTAATACAACTGCTAACAAAAACATAACTTGCAGCAGCTGCTTACCTGTGACCTGATAAATGACTGCACTGCCAAATAATCAGATTCCCAATTCCGCCTAGATGCAGTGCAACTGTAAGAAAACGCTATGTGAAGGTTTTGTTTACATGGGGTAGATGTTACCTAGCCACGCTAAGCCCTTACCTTCCTGTCAGCAAACAAATGAATGGACAGATCGGTCCAGATACTGGAAGTGCAGCAAAGGAGGCTAAGCAGATAAACCAATTAGTATTAATAGCCATTATTAAAGCAGACAAACGATAAAACAGCCACGCTTACCCAGAACAGTGCAAACAAAGGAAACAGATTTGGTTGACGTCACAACGCAAGCAGCCTCATGACAGGTGAAGGCTTGCTTATATGCATCCGCTGAAATTGGCCTTAAAGTGGCAGCGCACCATTTATGCTGCTACAGTCTACCCCCCCAACTTGCGTCGACGCCCCGACGACGACCCCTAAAAATACTAGCACCAAGGTCTAAATACTACAGAAACAGCATTGCAATTTGAATCAGGAGAGTTTGCAGCCCCATGCACTAGTGCCATTGGTCTTGGGAGATGGTGGACATTGGAGTGCTGACTTGCTGTTGAACGTGTAGTTCTCCTCATCACCCTCGGAGGGCCCTGATCATTACTTGAGCTGGCAACACTAGGAGTTTGAGATGCAGATGTTGAAGGAGCTTCATGATGGGATGCCCCAGAGGACAAAGGAACAGTGTCATTTCTGACCATTTGTGGGTCGGCGGGCAAAGAAGGTGCTGCCTGGTGGACATTTACCTTCAAAAACAAATCAGGATCATATTCATCCTCAGAGGATGAATCATTCAACAGTGGTTCCCCACGAGGTGATGCTGGGACATCACTACAAACAACTGGCTTCAATAGAGACCGATGGACTCTTTTCGTTTTGTTCAATTCATCTGCAGGAGCAACAGTGTAAACTGCTCCAGTGTCACCCAGTACTTTCAGGACCTTATACACCTTGGAGCGCCACAGATCTTGAATTTTGTGTCTTCCCTGGTGACTGGTGTTTCGAAGTAGGACAAGTTGGCCTTCATGCAGAGGAGAGTCTTGAACATGCTGGTCATTATTTCTCTGTCTCCTATCTGCAGCAGTCTTCAGCTTCTCCCTTGCTTCCTCAAAAGCCAGTTTCAAGCGCATCTGGTGCTCTGCAACCCACTTGTTAACACTGCCAGCACTTGGTTCCAATACATGGCCGAGAAGAAAATCTAAAGGAAGCCTAGGTTGTTGGCCAAACATCAGAAAGAAGGGACTTTCTCCAGTGCTCTGATGTGGTGTGGTGTTATAACAAAAGACAACTTGTGGCAAATAAGCAGTCCATGCTCTCTTGCTGGTGGTGGGGAGGGTACGCAACAGGTTATGAAGCGTACGATTAAACCTTTCACATTGTCCATTTCCAGCAGG